AATCCAGTCTTGTAGATCAGGTCCTGCCTTACTAACACAACTGCCACCCATCCTCCCTCATTAACATCATAGAGGCAGGTTTACAACATACAGGAAAATCACACAGTACCAGCAATCATGGCCTAGCCAAATTGATACACACATTTTTGGGGGGACATAATTCAAACCATGACAAATACTAATAAAATTTATTAAGGTGTCAAAATGAAAAATTATTATGAAAACCAAGAGCTTCCTTTATAATTACAATATGCATTTGGAAAACATAGTAGTAAAAAAGATCCCACTCACAATTACTTGAAAATTTTAACCTTGTAACAAATTGAGCAGAGGATACAAATTTGTTAAAAATATGTGACAGATGAAAGGTTAATATCTTTCTAAATCATCTCTTATTGGTCAGTTTAGAATAAACAGCCAACCATAAAAACATTTCAATAGAAAATTAGGCTACCGACATAAGGAAGCAAATTCACAGCAGTATAAATAAAATGCTAAATAAACATATAAAAAATATTCTACACCTCACAACTAATAAATGCACATTAAGCCAACTTTAAGTACCAATTTTTTTTGCCTAACAAGTGGCCAAAGATTTAAAAATACCCAGTGAAGAGCCAAACAAATGCCAAAACCACAACAAGATACCATTTCACTCCCGCTGTTGTTGTTAGGTGTCATCAAGTCGCTTCTGACTCATAGAGACCCTACGTGCAAGAGAACAAAACACTGCCAGGTCCTGCGCCATCCTCATGATCTTCGTTATGCTTGAGCCCACTGTTGCAGCCACTGTGTCAACCCATCTGGTTGAGGATCTTCCTCTTTTTCACTGACCGTCTACCAGCTGTCATGGATTGAATTGTGTCCCCTAAAAATATGTATACCAATTTGGCTAGGCCATGATTCCCAGTACTGTGTGACTGTCCACCATTTTGTCATCTGATGTGATTTTCCTATGTGTTATAAATCCTAATATCTGCTTGTGGTTACTGAGGCAAGATTAGATTATGTTAAAGAGGATTAGGGTGGGATGTAACACCCTTGCTCAGGTCACATCCCCGATCCAATGTAAAGTGAGTTTCCCTGGGGTGTGGCATGCACCACCTTTTCTCTCTCAAGAGATAAAAGCAAAGGGAAGTGAGCAGAGTTGGAGGAACTCCTACCACCAAGAAAGCAATGCCAGGAGCAGAGCATGTCCTTTGGACTCGGGTTTCCTGCACAGAGAAGCTCCTAGTCCAGGGGAAGACTGATGAGAAGGACGTTCCTCCAGAGCTGACAGAGAAAGAAAGCCTTCCCCTGGAGCTGATGCCCTGAATTTGGACTTCTAGCCTACTAGACTGTAAGGGAATAAACTTCTCTTTATTAAAGCCATCCATTTGCAGTACCTCTGTTATAGCAGCACTGAATGACTAAGACACCAAGCATGATGTCCTTCTTCAGGGACTGATCCCTTCTGATAACATGTCCAAAGTACGTGAGACGAAGTCTCGCCATCCTTGCTTCTAAGGAACATTCTGGTTGTACTTCTTCCAAGACAGATTTGTTCGTTCTTTTGGACTGTCAAAAGAACAAACAAATCACTGCCAGTAGGATGGCTAAAATTAACAACAAAACAAAACAAAAAAACAGAAAATAACAAATGTTGGCAAGGATGTGGGGAAATTGGAACCCTTATCCATTGCTGATGGGAATGTAAAACGGTACAGCTGTTGTGGAAAATAGTGTGGAAGTTCCTAAAAAAACTAAAACTAGAACTACCGTATGACCCAGTAACTTCACTACTAGGTACACACCCAAAAGACTTGAAAGCAGACACTCAAACACATACTTATACAATGATGTTCACTGCAGCATTCACGATAGCCAAAAGGTGGAAACAACTTAAATGACCATCAATGTATGAATGGATAAACAAAATGTGGTACATACATACAATGGAATACTACTTAGCCAGTAAGAGAAAAGAATTCTTGATCCATGCTACAATATGGATGGAGCTTGAGGACATTATACTGCATGAAATAAGTCATTCACAAAAGGACAAATATTGTTATGATCTCACTTATATAAAAAGACAAAAACAGGCAAATGTACAGAGACCAAAGTTTATTAGTGGTTACCAGGAGCAGGAGGGAGGGTTACTGCTTATGGAGTACTGAATTTCGGTTTACAGTGATGGAAAACTTGTGTGGATTAAGGGTAGGGCTGCACAGCTGATTACCGTAATACAACTGCTGTCAATAAGTTGTACATCTGGGAACAGTTGAATTGGCAAAAGTTGTATGATAGACATATTTACAACAATGACAAAAAAAAAAAAAAGAGTATCTGCTGAGGCTGCTTATGTACAACCACATACCTCATGGGATTTGATTCCTTGGTTTGGAGGTTTAGGGTCATGGTTTCATGGGACATCCCAGTTAACTGGGCTAATACCATGTTTAGTGCTTCTGTTCTACATCCTACTTCATTGTGTAGTGCGTGGGGTCTTAAAAGCTTGCAAGCAGCCCTCCAAGGCACAACTGGTCTGTATTTACCTGGAGACTCCGGAGCAACAGAAGAAGGAAAGTCAAGAATAGGAGGAGGAAACGGAATATGTGGCTAATTGCCTCCATGAACAACTGCCTCCTTTGCCATGAGACCAGAAGAACTGGATGGTGCCTGGCTACTGTTAACAAACATTTTGATCAAAATTCTATCGAAGAATCCTGTTCAA